GGTCATCTGTATAAGCAAGAAAAAAAACTGTAGAGACGACATGAGATCAAAAGCAATGCCAGCGTAGCTCACTGCATAACTGCATCACTGCTGCATAAGTACAGATATACCATATAAATAGTAGTCAAATATTTACCAGTATCAATAAGTGCTTACGTTCTAATATATAAATACATCTTACAGTATTCATAATTACATAATTACCTCCTCTATTGTTGTGCAATAGCAAATCCCATGCATTTTTTTACCAAGATAAAAACCACAACATTAAGAAAAATTGCAACATAGGAAACTTTTTTTGTTTCTTTTAAGCTTATTTCACATAAATAAAGCTGCGTCCGTCTGTCAACAGAGCCGACGGGGCAAGAAAAAGCTGTCCTCTGAGCAAAATAAAGAGTACCTCGACCACTTTCCGTAGTTCTCGCTCTGATAAAGAAATGAAGAAACGCAAAATAAAGGCACAGACCCTCGCTGCTTGATCAGAAGCACCAAACTGCACAAGAAGCGTCTACTTAAAATTTGGTCAGACTGTTTCATAATACACATACTTTTCCCCTTATAAATAGTCTTTATTTACTGCACTACTGCATCACACCTTGATATGATTACATAAACAACAGTCTATTTTCAAAGTACACACAGTAAAATACACTGTTTGTATGTATCTAAGAAGGAGTATATGTTAAGGACATTTGTACAGAATTCATAAATATAATTTATGTGCAATTGTACGCAAACTACTATGTCAGACAAAGGCATATTAGCAGAATATCTTTCCGTATTGCACCTGAACCCATTAATGCAAAAAACACCCTGCTGCTCGTCCAAGTTTTCCAAAAAGCCTCTGAAGAGAAGAGCTCATCAGATGCGGTGGCCTTCTTCTTCACTGAAAAGACCTCCACTCATATTATCCACTTAAGAAGATGTCTCGAGTATGTGCAAGACCAGAGGAAGTGTTATTATATTGCCTCTAATGGGATAAAGATGAGGTCATGTGCCTAAAGGGCAGAAGGTGACAAGGTCACAGGTGTAGCAGGGAGGTGTCTTTTCCTTGATCAACCCGAGAAAACAGACAATGACGGTTCTAATGAGGGTCTTCTGTGGTAATCTTCAGCGAGGCGATGGCTTTCAAGCAGGTCTGTACATTCTCCTCTTGTCTGCTGTCTCCGACTTCAGGGTCGAGACTTTTCTCCTGAGCGGCCTCGTGGCAGGACAGCTGGCCGTGGCCTCTGATGTCCTCTCCTTCTGTCTCAGGACTGAGGACAGATCCCTCCCTGCTGCTGCAACATTGGCCTTCGCTGCTTTGGGGGCTTGGCGCCACAGAGGGGCTGACATCAGTGCTGGAGGAAGGCGGGGAGTGTAATATCTGGAGCCCGCCAACAGGAACAACGGGGAGCAAACTGTGGGCCTGCTGCTGGGAGTGAAGAGGGAGGTGGCTGAGGATGTTCTGATGATGAGAACTGGCAGCACCAGCCAGACTGGAAGCCAAGCTGCTCCTTTGATCCTGGAACGACACATTGGCAGAATTAGCAGCAATTTCAGCATCGCCAAGATAATTTCTCATGTGAAAATATCTTAGTTAGAAATCATGAAGTAATGTGAATGTTGAAAAATGAAAGCACTCAGAGAAGAAAAAACTTCTCTGCCAACAGAATATTCTACGACTTGTTCTTTCAGTGCAAGAAAAAGAAAATGTATGTGTGCTTTTCTTTTAACTAGTGAAACACAAATAGCTAATTCCATGCTGAAATATACACTGGTTGCTAGGGAAAAATGTGTAATTTTTTTGAGTCGTTGGTGAGTGGTTTCTGGCTGTCGCTAGGTGAAAACAGTCTTAAAAAAGGTGATGCACCAAAAACCTCCCTGTGATTGGTCACTAGCAGATTGCTTTGGCAAAAGTTTGTATTTACAGTTTGAGCCACATTCTTCGCCGCTTAACTGCTGCTTGACAAGTTTTTTGAGAGTTTTGTACCTAAGTTGCCATCTTCCATGCTAATTATGCTCAACCTGCTAACGCTTAAAGCAATCACAAGAAGGTTTGTGGCATAGCATCATAAGTTTCACACTAGCAACTGCCAGCAACCAGTCGCCAACCATTTGTGGGGTACACAGTTTTCTGAGGCAACCGGTCATTACCATTGGGTAATTGATTGCCCTCTTGGCCTGGTTGAATCAGACTTTTGTAATCAACTTGAAAGCAACTGCCAGCAACGTCCAGCAACAGTTGGGGGATAGCCTGTGTGACTAGGGCATTAGGGGAGAATAGTCTTCACTATTGGTAACAAATGCTAAAGATCAGGGTGCGCTAACTGTAGCAAGTGTCTAATCTGCTGAAACACTAGTATCGACCATACAATGCCAGGTCATGATAGCACAACATTAGCTAGTCAACAGTTGTGCTTTACAAGCTAAGTATTTACTGACTTGGAAATTACTAAATTAATGCAAAAAAACCCCCAAAACTGTCCCAATTGAAAAAATGGCGATGGACTCTACTCGCCACCTGCTAGCAAGAGTTAGCATGCTTGTTTGCTAAGCTATAATTTTAAACATAGTTACCATTTTAACTGTGCCTAGATTAATATCTTATGTTGTTCGAGTTAGATACACTAGTAGACAAGAATATAAAATTTCTGAAAAATTTCTTAAATACAGTGTATGAAAATATTTTTGTTTTTACACCACACACGGTCCATCTACATGTACCCAGATTCATCAAAATTTAACAAAATAATTTTTAGATGCTGTTCTATACACTTGAACAGATTAACAATAAGTCCTTAAAAGCTCTTTGTTTGTGTTACACTTGAACTGGCTGCAGAACACGCTGTGCTACTTACCATCTCCATTTCAAAGGCTCCTTGGTGCTGAGCCATCTCCATCTTTGCTTGGTGTCTGGTTTTGTCACCGCTGCCTTTATGTTGGTGTGAACCTCTGCGTGGTGAAACAGCTCTTAACACAACCCTCTGCCTGCCCCTGACTGAGGATTCCCGCTTTCCAGCAAGCTCTATGCCGGGAGACATGGGCCGTTCAATTGAGACCGGGGAGGGATGCTGGATGGGTGTGAAGCTAGGTGAACTGGGCCTCAATGGAGAGGTATCCCATCTGGGAGAGGAGCGACCACGTGGCGAAAGCTCCCTCCTTGGGGACGGGTAACGTAGACGTGAAGGGGAGGGCTCCCTGATGGGAGACTCCCAGCCAGGAGAGAGTAGACAAGATGAATAAGGGTCAAAAAGGAAGCTGCTGTGATCTGGAGACAGCATGGTCAGAGAGTCTTCATCCACGGATTTCTCTCTCTGGTCGTTTGCAAGAACAGGACGATGATCCAAGCTCGTACGTCTGCCGGAGGGTTGCTGACTGACATCGACTCCGGGCAGAGATGCGAGGGAGCAGCCGTGGATGGCAGCAGTGGCTGTAACTGACAGAGAGGTAACTCCACACGGCTGAGGACTCGTGCTTCTTGAATGTAACTTCGGAGTGGAATCACCCTCGTATTCGTCGTCCTCATCGTCATCTTCATCAATTTCATCGGCTTCTTCATCCATGCCGTCGGAGTCCTCGGCGTCTGAGAACTGATGTTTGGTCGTCGCAGCCACCTCTGTCTTGGACTTTTGTTGCATGTCGTCCACTTGAAATGAGAAACACATTAGTTTAGCTGGATTAGTTGCAGTGACAGCTGGGCATATCTACAACACTTACATACATCCCAGTCTTACCATGCTCCTGTATCTCTGTCTCATCCATCGTCACTGACACTCCCAGTTCAAGACACTTCTTCATGTGCGCTTTTGACTTCATGTGTTTAGTTAGGTTTCCTGCAGAAATAAGGCAAATTTGTTGAAATTAAACACAACAGAAACTGAACTTTCGTACATTTCAGATGCTTAAAAAAAGTTCATCTAACAGCTTTTTTTTATCACTGCTACAGCTACGATAACTCACTACTCTGTAAGAAAAAAAATGCTTACCTTTAGTTTTAAAAGCAAAGTTGCAAACCCTGCAGATATACGGCCGCACATCCGTATGGGTCCTGATATGTTTTTTCAGCATGCTTGGCTTCTTACAGCGAATACCACACTCCTCACATATGTATTTACCCCGGCCTCGACCTCTAACATATACATAGTCTTCATTGGATTTGTACCTGAAACAGAGAGATTCATTTCTAATAAAGAAATGCACAAAAAGCACAGTCGTAAACTGCAAAAAGAGCGTGGGCCAACAGATACTTCACATACTAGCACTCTAATATATCCGCTGCATATGCAGTCAGCAGAAGTGACAAGTGTAATGGTAAATAATATCTCGACTGACCCTCCTTCAAAGATCTTAATTCGTGTTGGCACAGTCTGGGTTGTGGCAGCCTCCCTCTCTTTCCACTCTTCCTTGGCAGTTTTCACTCTGCAGCTGATGTCTTTCACCTTCTTCCCGTAGGTGACGTCCACCTCTTTGGGCTCCGGTTTCCTCTGCAGCTGAATCAGATGAACAAACATTGTGTTAACATCCTTTTTAAGTGGACACCATATCGACAAGGCAACGCGATCCCACCAATATTGTATGTCACACATGGCATTGCACAGCATGTTTTGCAAACATGAACTATGCCACTGCTGGGGAAAAACCCAGCACAGGTAACTCTGATCTTAATGTTAAATTTTATGCTTTTTATCCACTGAGCACAGTGGAGAAAAGTACCAAGATTTGGACTTAATAATGACCTTAATATAATTATAATATCTGGTATTTTCATCTCCAAGACATATTTTTTAAAATCAAGACCATTTGGCGATTCATAGTTAAATATCATTATCAGCACCAAGCAAATGCTCGTTCCAGGATCTTTCCAAGGAAACCTTCTGTCGGTTAATTAAAGTGTGCAGTTTGCCAAATTCTGGGTATTAAGGTCCTTAAAACTTTCTGCATTTTAAACAGTTATCTTCTCATAATTATTTCTGATTATATCAGTGATTACTGATATAAGATGTACAATAAATAAGGCTTTAATTCAATATCTCAACAGGTGTTTAAAACACCAGTACGCCTTTGATAGAAAAGACAGGATTATGTTCTTACCTGTTCCATGGTCTGCCTCCACAGGATGAGTGATGAGACCAGTTTCCCAGCACCAGGCTGGCACATGGCAGCCATGGTGTATATAACCTTGTCTCCCCTCTGTCTGGACTGCAGCAAAGCCAGAGCAGAGTTGGTGCTCACTTCAAGAGGGTTCGGGTTATGGGAACTCACACGCCAGGTGGCGTACACAGATGAGAAAGGGGCGGTGCTGTGAGAGCAGCTCGGCGTGGTGTAATTGAGATAACACCAGCTCACACCTGTCGCCGTGCGAAGACTTGGAAACTGAGATAACAGTCCTGAATGCTCAGAGTCTGACATCAGGATGTCTTGACTGGTTACCAGCTGTGCCACTATATCCATCTGCACTCGTTTCTCCATGCCAGCTTCTTTCACTTCACTGACTGATATCATGGCGTAAGGAGGCGAGCTTGCATCCAGGGAGCTGCTTTCCATAACTGACTCTGCACCGTGGTCCGTGGCCTCGGCCTCTTTTTGCTGAAGTGTGATAAATTTACTCCTGCGTGAGTCATTCTGAGCATGAAGTGTTGGTGCACCCTGCATCCCTGACCTGTGCCCCTTCTCTTCACTCAAATTACATTTTCCCAACTCCACTGCACTCAGTTCCTCTACAATCTGCCCAAACATCCTCTCCTCTTTCACACGCTTTTGCTGCTTGACCTCCATGAATAGGTCCAGGCTGCTGGCAGGGGATAGCATCCGTTTGTTTGCACCACCACTGGAGGCATTAGTGGTTGAGATAGTTCTGGAGGTCAGAGAGAGAGGGATGCCTGTCTTGAGCTTGGCTGAGGACAAATCAAGGGCCTCAACATTGAGGGTGTGTGTTGTAGGTGGTTTTGTATGAGCCGATATGTTATGAGAATCAAGATTCCCAGAAATTCTTAAACTCTGACTCTGAAGGGTGGACGTAGTGGAGCTAACACTGTCATAGTGATTGTCAAAAATCTGCGACATTGAGGTGTATGTGATACTACCGTAGGATGGAACATGAGTCTGAATTCTTACAGGAACCATCAGGCTTGGATGTGCAAGCTGAGGAAATGTACTCCCAGCTGAGAATATTGGCAACGTCTGCGGCAGGATAGTGGCGGCAGTGAATGAAGGGGAGATGCTGCTGAGATACTGTGGAAACACTTGTGATGTTACTTCACTATCCATATTCAGTGACTCCTGTCGCACTAAGTTTCCCCTCCTTCTCTCCTTCACAGAGTTTATGTCCACGTGTCTAACTTTGGATGTTGGAGAAAGACTGCCATAGTCAAATGATATGCTGCGCAACTCTGGGAACTCCTTGCGCAAGTTACACGGCGCCTGCTCTGAGGAGGAGCGTCTCATTTCATGTTGTTGACGCTGGTTGAGCACTGAGAGGGAGTGCCCACTCCCTGGCACAGCTAACAACTCTAATGGTTTGCCAAATTCATCCTGCCTGGCGGGAGAGACTGACTTCAAGCTCTCTTCCCTGTCAAACGATAAGGTGGAGCTGTAAGATAAGTTGCTGTCTTGACTGGGGCTGCGGGACAGGCTAGTGCAGGCGGACTCAAAGCTAGATTCACCAGAGGAGTGCTCAATATCAGCTAAGCGTAGCCTTTTTTTCTTTGGAGGGAGTTTTTCTGGAGGGAATTGTGCTAAAGTTTCACTCCTTTGAGGCCACTGAAACTCCTCCACATGCTTCTCTGGCTCCTTCACCTGCACCTCAGGAGCTTTTTCTGGACTGTCAGGCTCTACTGTGACTCTAATTTCTGGGACTTGTATGTTAGACTGCCGCACGAGCTTGGGCCCCAGTTGAACCGACTCCCTTAATCTACTGTCAATTCGCTCCATCTCATATGATTCAGAGGCCTCCATAGCTTGATATTTGTAAGATTCTGAATGTTCAGAGTAAGGCCTGTTTATTGAGTTTGTGTGCTGGATAACTGAAATTACATTCCCTAAGTTTTTTCGAGCAGACACTTCAGGGCACACCGATATGTCCATGTCACACCTGTCCATCTGTAAATGGCCTTTCCGTAAAGCCATAATGCCCAGTGCGCCTTGTTTTACATCATAGTCCTTGCTTGAATCAAACATCTCCTCACACGGTTCATGATGGCCTTCATATTGACCCGACAAATCCTCCTCTTCCCTTTTTTCCTTCCGACGCTTGCGCGTTGCCAGTTCCATCGCATGCCTCTGATGGCTCATACTAGGCACCACAGAAGGGTAGCTTTCCATTTCCAGTCCTGAGGGTGAAATGCCACTCTCACTAATCTTTCCGTGACTGTCAGTGTCAGTATGGCCATCTTGCGCGGATAGTTCGAAAGCGGCTTGCCGCCTGAGTCTCCTCATGCCGCCGGTGCTTGTTCTCTCATCAAACGAGTGACTGCCTCTGAGTGCTTGAGGCATAGTCAGACAGACTGCTGAGGATGTTGGCATTGAGTTGCTTCTAATCAGAGGCCCCACATCAGAGCCAGCATCTAATAGGGGTTCTTTTACCTCTTCCCTTGTGAATGATTTTGTGTTTATTTTGATTGACTCAACTGTGTCTTTTTCTTGCGTGAAAACACGGGAGACGCCTTTCTCTGAGCGTTTGCCGGTATATTCACTCGTGTCTGTGCTACAAGCCGCAAAAGCTGTTGCCTGCTTAGGGCTTGGCCGATAACACTTTCCAAACATAATTTCTTGGTAGGACTTTGCGTTAGTGTTTGGAGGGCCGGTCTGGTGCTCAGCACTCTCAGAGCGAGAGAAGTACCCGGAGTCCGTGCTGCCCTTGCTAGACTGACTTGGGAGGGACAGATTGTGGTCAGAGTCACTGCTTCTTTTTTCAGACAGCCGGAGTGCCAGCCTCTGTTTGATTGTGCAAGATTGAATTGCACGACTAGCCTCGGCAGCAGCAGAAGGTGCATTGATTTCTTGGGGTTGGGATGAACCATCCTGAGCTGACATTGACGTGGCTCCCTTTTTCTGAGCAATGAGATTTAGTACTTTTACAGCAGTGTTATCTGATCCCTCCATTGGAGAGTCCAGCAGCAGCAGCGGGTCATTAAGAGTGTCCTCGTCCGTGTCTGTGCTTTGCTCAGCATCAGAGAATAGCTCTCCTTCCCCTTCAAAAGACCCTTGGTCTGTATTGGCATTGTACGAACCGAGTTCTGAGAATGGCACCGTTCCAGCTTTGACTGAGTGAGCATGAGACTTTCTGTGTTTGTACAAATTGCTCTTGGTTTTGAAGGAGAACCCACAGGGAACACATGGGTAGGGTCGTTCCCCTGTGTGCGAGCGAATATGTTTCTTAAGCACGCTGGGTTTGGCACATGCCCTTCCGCAGTAATCGCAAACATACTTCCCAGGCTTTTGTGGTTTCTGTTCCACCTTACACACCGTTTCTGTAAGTGGATCCATCCCTGAATTTGAACATTGTTGTTGGACTTCAGGTGAGCTGGGGGACTTCCTGTGAGATGTGGGTGCTGGGGACTGTGTAGAAGCTTTCTGTCTGCCACTAGAAAACTGCTTTGCGGACTGTAGTGGGTATGAAGATACCTCATAGTCTGGATGGCTTGTGGACTGGGCTTGAGGGTGCTGATCTTCTAATTGCAGTGATTTCCCTGAGTCAGACATTTCTTTAAAACCACATGTATCTTTGCTCTGAGCTTCTTCTAGTTTTTGGTGCCACCCTTTGGCTTCCAATTCGACTGGTGGTCTCCGCCTACTCTGTGCAACCTCCAATGTGCATTTTTTCTGTGCAGCATTTATGTCCTGACCCTCAGTGGAGCTTTTTACCCCTGCAGTAGTTTCAAGTGACTCCATGAATCCAGTGTCACTTCCTTTGCGATCGATTTTCAAGGACAATAACTGTTATGTAACTTGAGTAATATTAACATACATGTGAATTGCAGGGAAGGGTCATCTGAAAGAAATAAGAAAGAGTCGTTAGGATGCAATAACATGAACTAGGACCACATAAATATGCACGAAGATTATCGTGACAAAATAAATGAGGCAGGAAAGTCTGTGTGTTTGTGTGTGTGTGTGTCTGCGCTTGAAATTGAGAGCTATTCAAGGCTGTTTCCCAAAAGTCCTCCTAATAAAACTGGAGTATAAAATTCATAATGAACTCCATCACAGCAGGAATGGAAAAGCTGGGTCTCTTTACCAAGGTAAACCCTGGCACCTAATTTTCTGAAGCTCTGTGAATGTGCATATGAAGAGGTATTTAACTCTTTGCCCCTTGAAAGCCTACTAGGAGTAACCCTCGAAGGTCCCTTCAGACCTGAGTGGTTTCTGTCATATTTCAGGCCTCCTTATGGAACAAAATCACTGGGTGAGTGAAAGTGGTCTCTCACCCTGTAAAGACCACATATTTACTGATATATACTGAAGTGTCAAAACTGATCATTAAGGGCACAGGTGAGGTTGTCAAATGATGACCTCATGGGGAAACAAGCCAGTACCGTATGTGGAATGTCACTTTTATTCAAACATTTATGCACCGGGTCACCATCACCCCATCCCGAGTTAGAGGTAGTGTTCGGCTTTTGATCAAATTTTAATCTTTTTGGAAAAATTTAAAAAATAACTGCAATGTATTAAAATTAATCTGAAAGGTAACATGATCTAGTTTGGAAAAAGTAATCTATTTGTATGGCTCATAACACAAGCTAACCCTACATTGTATAGGTTGCCACTGGGTGTTACAACAGGTCAAAGGGAATTAATAAATTCAGTTTTAAACTCACTTGTTCAGCCGTGGTCGACATTATTGGCAATCATTGGAATAAAAACTAGACTGAACCGAAGAACAGAAGACAAGACTGTTATTGGAAGTAAGCATTTTTTGAAGTCTGGCATGTGTGTGGAAGCATGCCAGTCGATAGTCTTAAATCAATGGCAATGGAGTGTAATGAGTCCGCCCGCACCTTTAAAGCCTTTTATCTAAATCCCGTATCATTTCATATCACCTCCAGTGGGATTCAAAGCTTCCAACCTATCTGAGTTGTGTCCGTCTCCACAGTGAGCCGCACAGGACCACACTCTTCACTGTAGGTAAACATGCAGGACTCAAGCGAGAAACAACATGATGCCTGTGACTGAAGTGAACTGGTTACACTTTCACTTCATACCGTGGGGATGGATGGCCATCTGAGGGCACGTCATTTTCATCTTCTCAGTTTCAAATGCTGTGTCCTCCCTAACGACGTTATGTAATTTTATCTGGTACAAACCCTCTGAGTTCCCTTTAATTAGGACATCCTTCGACTCTCACTCTCTTTCTCTCACTCCCTTTCTTTCTTTGTTAGCACACCACCACGCTGCTCAAGCATAAAAACCAGAGGATATGAATCCAAGGTGACTCTTGAGATGCCGAGAGACGCTCGAAAGCAGCGGTAAAGATGATAATCTACCTTTTGTGTTCTTATCCAAATGCCCATTCCCCTCTTTGAGCTCATCTTTGGGGTCTCTGCTGTCAGCCAGATTTGAACGCTTCCTCCACATACAGGAAAAATAATGAAGGCATATGAAGGATGGTGAGGAGGGGAGGAGGTGGAGGGGCAGCTTTGGATTGGAATGATCCATGTTTCAACGGGGAGGTTTAGAGAGGTAAACTAAGCTGGAGGGTGCCAGGGGGTAACAAAAATTCAGAGGCCTGGTAGGGAGCTCCCTTTCAAGGTCGATCTGACCTCATTGCTTAGTTTCCATCCTCGGTGAGCCACCAGAGCAGGGAAGAGGGGAATATGGGTGCAGAGTGACAATGAGATAAGACCCTCAGAAACAATGCATACCTTTGAACTGAGCACGGCAGGGAGGAAACAGAGCCGTCACATTCAGAGTCTCATTGACAAGTCTCTGAGCGCATTCAGACTTTTCCAAAAAAGAGTGGGCCAGCGCACCTTTGAAAGCCAAATTCCTCTCACTCCTGGCAACAAGCGCTAACCTAAACGAAAATATGTGACACGGCAGCAATGACGTGCAACAACAGGAGGCAGGTGGGTGGCAGTAGGTGTGCTTCGGGATGACTGTGGGCTGACTGTGGTACAGTATGTCCGCATGGATGGAGAAACGACTCTGTGGAGACATTTATCTGAACCGCACATTCGCTGGGCACATCCCTTCACACACAAGGGAGCACGGTGAGCTACGGGAGAGCATCGTTATGCCGCTGCATTACATCATTAGGGGCTAAGTTGGCCATTAAAGGGAATGGGGCTTGAAGTCTCACGCTGACAACAAATCCATAAATATCATAAGGAGACAGTTGGCTTTAAAGTCCTCTACGACAGCATGCAGAATGAACCAGCAGCTCTCTCACTGTGATCGGAGTGACACACAGCACACACACAGCAGCTGGCATTCACATATCAAATATAATCCTCATACAAACCTGACATTTGAATAGTCCCCTGTCCCATATCGGCAGTCACATGTGACATTCCTCATACTGCATAGTCCGTCTCTCCATTCTCCTCATGTCCGGGTGGCGAAATATGAAAGAAACGAGCGAGGTAAAAGTCCCATCAGTCGCGAAGCTGCTGGCCGACTGGATGTACATTAGAAGATCTATTGATGCGAGCTAGTCACCAGAGAAAATACCCAAGCGTGACGTGCGGACCCAGGCACAAAAATAGCAAAGGGGCCCAGAGAGGGATACACAACAGCCCACGTTTAAGGGCGCTTTTCCTCTCCCTCTCCCTCTCGTCTCTCCGTGCGCTTCGCACACTCCGCACTCAAAGTGGGGAGCGAGGCTGTCATGATCCAAAGAGCTAAAGCATCACCCATCCCTCACAGCTCAAATTCATTCAGGTACACATATTCATTAACTATTATTATCTATGTAAAATGCGTCGGACAGTCGGTAGGAAGAAATGCAAAAGCGCTCGGCTGAAAGACTCTAATCATATGGTGCAGCGAGCTCTGAATGTACATCTCCTACAGCGTGATCCTATTCAGCGTGTGCATACGGAGAGGAACTCAATGAATGTGGCTGGCTGCGAGGCTGCTGCAAAAATTAGACATGTTCTCTGAATTCTGAGACACCCACAAGCCCCGTTCAGAGCCAGTTCTTCCCGTCACGACAGGATTTGCTTTGTGAATGGAGAGAGTCGTGATGAGGGGTGTCATTAACGCGGCAAAAAAGGGAAAAAAAAAAAACTAGGACAATACTGCAGATTATGTGCAGCTGCGAACCTCATCTTGTGAATCACGTGTGCGAGTTTAGTTGGTGCCATTTGGAGCCTTTGCATTAATGCATCAACTCTGCAGTGAATCTTAAAGACTTCCTCTGAGCAAGATTCAGTAAGAATTAGTGACTCTTGGGCTGCATTGTTATAGTCTGAGCTTTAATTTTGCAAAACAAGAGAAGAAAGACTAATTGCTTAATTCTATTAACGTAGCAGTTACAACTACAGTTTAATGTATTTACTGTTTGCACATAACCCTGTTACACATAAGCCTGTTGCTTATAATTAAATAATTGCCTGTGATGTTTCCTGATCAGGTTAGTCCACAAATTCCTGTAAACAAAGGGTTAAAGATTTGAAAATGACTCCAGTATTGGCATATAATGTTACTAGTCACCTTTTACATCCTTTTTTGCCTTATTGTTAGATAACAAAATGTGGCACATCGTACCCAGGTAACTACTGCTGTGTTACTTTGTATTTTCTCGTCTATTTTTAACATGTCTGATTGACTTTTGGAATCAAAATCATTCATGAATATAGATTAAAACAGTGTCCTTTAAAACACATGACAAACATTTCAATTTTACTGTGAAATTACCTTTGCATAGAGGCCAAACCATCTGATAAAATGTGTCATAACATTCGTTTGAAGCTGCAGGTTTTGCCATCAAACACATCAAACGAGGTCTTTCTGTGCTTTTGAACTGATTTATGATCACCCCGCCTCAGCCATTTGTGTGAAAAATTTGGCCTTTCAACACAATATAATTTACAGGACTTCAGATACTACACCCCGCTTTGACCCACCTCCTCGTCCTCCTCGGTTTCACTCTTTGCTCTTGGGTGAGAACAACTGGAGGCTTCTATGAATAGGAGTCCTTGGCTTTGGGCTTGCACCAGCTGTGCTTGCTGTGGCTAAGACATGTTTCACAGAGGTCCTCCCCTTAATGCAAAGCTTACACAACAGAGCAACTTATGTAACGACTCGCTGTTGAACTTCACCTCACAGTTCAAAATCTTATCCAAATGGCAAGCATTTTATTTCTCTGCAAAACTGTAATGTCACAGAGCATTTCCTTCAGAAAAGCAGCAACTCGCTGTGTGCTAGAAAAGCAGCGAATGCAGAGTCTGTGTATTGACAGAGTCCCTCCACAGTATGGAATTGCAGAGAGCTATTATTAGATATAGCCTCTAACAAGCCAAAGATGAAGTTGAAGCTAACTAACTGCAGTGCAGCTGAGATCCATTATGCTGTATTCAGTATCTACAGGAGCGGCACTAAAATGGCTGATACTCAATGTGCAGTGAAGGTCAAGTCGTGAGCCTCTATAAATATAATGGTCTGTCCCTCAGGATGTTCCACACACTGCTTGGCATTTCCACTATCTAAAGCTACGCCGTGGCTCCACTGACCAGCTCAAATCTGCCACAAATCTGCATGTGATTGAATGCCACACATGCACCTGACTACTAGCGGGCCTTTAATTATATTAGTCCTAAATTAGAAGGGCAGGGAGGGGGGTTTATGAATGGAAGGAATGAGGTTTTCCTCTTGGCTCACTGTAGTGGCAGTCATATGGCAGCCTGAGATAAGGGGGGGGGACAGAACCCAGCAGGTTGAACAAACACAACAACGTTAAACTAAAAATCTTCTCACAGAAGCCATTCAGAAAACTTCAACCGATTCACTTTTTTCATCAGCCGTCCACCGCTCCTTTGTCCGTCTCTTCAAGTCAGCCTCTCGAGCAGGCATGCTTATGCCATTATCACAGCAGTACCTGAAAATAATCTAACGTGATTGTGTGTTTCCATGGCAACCATGCCAACGTCTGTAACAGTTTCCCAGTTCCTGTCTACATATATAATTACTGCCTGCAGATTACAGAAGCAAGACTGCAGAAATGAGCCGGCAGTGTGTCGACCGCACAGTGAATCACGCAGCTTTCTGTGCTGATTGATAATAAAATGTACACGCAGTCCCAGTGAGCATGAAAAATAATAGTTTGAGAAACGGCAAAGATTTGGCTTTGTTGAAGTCTTGCCTTTACTTCAAAGGAATATGCAAATTCATTGCTGCCGGAAATGGAAAACAAGTGGGAGAAAGTCAAGATGGCAAAGTACAGTAACACGTCTGTTTTCAGTTAACTGAGTATCATTATTCAGTATTACAAGAAAAGTCCTTTTAATGTCTCTGACACCACTAACAACAAATAAGTCACATAAACCTAATGTACTATGCTCAAGTCAGTGCTCTACATCATTTTATTGCTGCTTTGCCTGGGATCATTGTCGAGTTTTTAGGACGTGGCCTCACATTGGACTCCAGAATCCTTTGGGAGGAATTCAAGATCCACTAAATGACCACACAGTCTCAGAACCTGGGCTGCAAAACAAGCTCAAATCATCTCCTGTCACCACCATTTGTGCTTATATATTGCGTTTGATTTTCTCCAAACATGGCACCATGTGCATGCATTACAGCCAAACATCTCCACTTTGGTCTTGTCTTTCCAAAGAAAACTGTTCAGGAGGTCTTGTGGTTTGTTCGTATCCAGTGTTGCAATCCTAAGGTGTACTGCTGTGTTCTTTTTAGAGAGTAGAGGCTTTTTCTAACTGTGATGGCCTTTAACATGCTGAGGCCTGTGGACTCTTTCTTTGTCACGCTACTGTATAGGCAAATAAACTCTACAATATGCAGTCAAACAGAACAAATACATCATTTTAAACAAGTAAGTTCTGATCCAGTTGACCAAACCGAGAAAATAATCCGCACTGCAGTCCTGCCTTTAAATGTCTAAGTTAATTTTTTTTTTGACATCTCAACAACTCAACATTTTTGCTACAAACTTTAAAGGTTTAAAGCCCGGGTTCTCCCAGAATGCAGAATATGTGTATTTCACTATTATTGAGCGTCTATCTGTGCACGCGTTTTGCATCCTTACATCTGTTTGTTGTGTTTAGGTGATCAGCTGCGATGTGCGCGTACCAGGCTGGGGATAGCCTGCTGAAATTAGGGTATGTGTGTGGGGTGGGGGGGTTGCACAGACGTGAGAAGAACCCCTTGCAAACCCCCCATCAGCACGTCATGGAACATTTGCAGAACAGGAACCTCCCACCTTAAAGGCGTGCAACAGAGAGCAGACACAACAGTGAGATCTGCCCTGCACCGGACTCTCTATCTCAGTTGACAAATTCTCCTGCAGCTGCTGTGGTTTCAGTGCAGAAAAAGAGCAAACACCAGCTTTGAAAGAAATTCTGCAGAGGCTTACCGGTCAGTGTGCAACATGAAAATAACTTCACTGCTGCTGCATTTTTCAGAGCCAGAAGAGGATGTGTTGTTTTCCTGGGTCATCTGTGCACAGCGGGGGTGCATAGATCTGTTTTGCACCGTCAGACTGCTTAAATGTCCCAGGCGGCTAGGGCGTTACACATGTTGACACAAGGGGGCGCCAAAGGGAGGCAACAAATGAGAACAAGTCAGTGTAATAAAGGTTGATTTTATTGAAACATTTATTAAAAATGAATCAAACCGATCAGTGCAACAGGCTTATCAAACTTCCCACAAAGCACATCTCAAAGAAAAGGAGCAATTTCACAGTGTTTAATGTCACTGGTCCCAAAATTACAGAAAGTGGCCTGGGTTTCTGGGTGAGAAACTAAAGGAAAACCATGGTGTTCTGTGTAAAAATGTCAAGCAGGCCCAGCTGAAACTCTATCAAGATAGCAAGAAAAAAAGGCGTTACAAGTGAAAAGGGATTCATTAGGAACAATGAGTAAAGCAATATTGGCATTTACAGATAAAGAAAAGTTAACTAAATGGAATTGGAAACTATGGTCAACACCGCACATTTGTTGACTCCGATGCTTGTGCATTAGTGCGATTTGTACGGCATAAACAGAGGAGGAACTCTTCCTCGGGCTACTGAGGATGTCAGTGCAGGGCATCGTCTCACCCCGCAGCAACAGTCGGTCAGCAATTACATGAAGAGGGATGTTACACTGGAGCTGCAGGGCATAGCCCCAGTATTACAAAGATGATTGCACATTTCAGAGCCAGGGGTGTTTCGAGACAATCTGTGGCAAGATCTGAAAACTGCTGTTCACAAATGCTGTCCATCTAATCTGACTGAGCTGGAGCTGTTTGCAAAGAAGAATGGGCAAAGATTTCAGTCTCTAGATGTGCAAAGCTGGTAGAGACATACCCTAAAACAGCAATCCCCAACCTTTTTTGCGCCACGGACTGGTTTATGCCAGTTTCAATTACGCACACCCCACTTTTCAGTTATTTATTTGTAAAAAATGTTTGGAATCATGTATGATTTTCGTTCCACTTCTCACGTGTACACCACTTTGTGTTGGTCTTTCACGTGGAATTCCAATAAAATTGATTTATGTTTGTGGCTGTAATGTGACAAAATGTGGAAAAGTTCAAGGGGGCCGAATACTTTTGCAAGCCACTGTATAATCCTTCCTTTCTGCTCCATCAGTTCCTCTTCAAGTGATGTGATTTTCCTTTAAGTGGCACCAGTCAGCTTCAGTGTCCAGGCCCACTGGCATGGCATCTGGCTAAAGGAGAGCTGGGGCAGGTAAACCTGCAGCCCACTGGGCTTTACAGGCTCCCACTTCAGAGGACCATAACCAAGAAGCACCACCTTTTTTGTTAAACAAAAGGAAGTTATGAATAAAGTTCAGATCTCACACAAGGTTCTGCATTTTATTGCCATGTACACTAATACCAGTTTAAATATAAGAAGCTGGCATCGCAACATTATTAGGTATTGAGTCAGTCTTACCTGAGTTTGCCCAGTAACCACTGGCTCATTCAGAATCACTGATCCATTATTTGGCCACTTGAGTAAGATGGAAAAGATGTTTTTTTCCTGGGGTCTGAACGTGTACCTGTTGAAGATCAGACCCATTAATTACCTCTGATTTTATCTATCTATATATTTTTTTCTATAACTTTCTATGTCTTTCTATAGATAAAGATCAATGTAGCCTTATAAAAAAAAAAAGTTGTGGACCCACCACAGATCTGGAGTGAGGCTGTCATTCTGAGCTCGCCATGCTGTCGTGTTATAGATGGCCTCCCCATTGACCTTCAGCCACTGACCAATCTGCCTCAGACGCTCCTCAAAGATCGGAGCGATTCTTCCATCGTGTGTGGGGCCGATATTCATCAGCAGGTTTCCTCCACAGGACACAGTCTCCACTAGTGTCTGAAACACACACACATGGACACATATTAAAGTGGACATGACTGGAAATTATTACAAGTGAATTTTGACACATAAATATGAACAAACAAAGCCACAAGAAGGGCTCCAGATCAGCGTTTCCATCTTTGACCCTCGAGCCAAACGAACTTCAGTCTAACGTGACCGCTCCCTTGTCTGGGTCTGGAGGCGTGTTTTAAAGTAAAACAGAGGAGAATCCTAACATTTTAACCACAGAATGGCATCACTGCTCAGCTGGCTCACCTTGGCTTGCAGAGCGACCCTCGGGCTATAGTTTCTAACTTAATTCTCTAGTGCCGCTGACTCAAGTTGAACTCCCATATATTTATCTCTATCCCATTTTCTTTCCTCTTTAATGCCACTCACTCATGTGATGATATTTTGTCATTCTTCTTGTTGATTTTTTTTTATTGATTTTACTGTTTTAATTATTTTATCTTTTTGTAAATTACACATACGAGTCTTGCATTTTTGCATCTTTTTAACTTGTTGATTTAACTCTGGTGGGTTTACATTTTTAAGTGTATTCATGGTATGTTTTTTGTAAGTGATGGCTGCTAGTAACAAAATGCCTAAAGATACAATTTAAAATTGCAGAGTCGTAGGAAATGTGTTGAAAAGCGTAAAGAAGCATTAGCTAAATTTCCCAATGACTCATTTAATCACAGTGGATCTGTTTTAGTTTAGAGGTGAATACGATTTTCAGCTCTCACCGACACAAGCTGATCGACGGTGAGGTAATCGCTGAGAGGAGCGTTACGTCTGTAACCCCAGGACTTTTTGTCAATGGTCATGCAGTTTTCCCATTTGTGCTTGAGCAGGTGTCCTGGCTGGTAGCGATCAGAACAGGTGTAATATCCACCGTGTGTGCAGATGGAGCCATTGCCCCACCGATCATTCGTCACCACCGTGTCACGTACTGGACTGTTGAGAAGATTTCAGTCAGCTCAGTTTTTATATCCATGATGGGAAAAAAGCTAAAAATAATGCACATTTTGCAAGTTTACCTGTCATTATAGAGCCAAGCTAAGAAACCAGTGCTGTTCCAGTACTTATCAGGCGCGTCTCCATCTCCATCAGACCACAGCACCTCTGGTTTGTACTTGACAACAAGCTCGTAAAGCTCAGGCAGAGTTTTACTGGTAGGAAAGTAGTTTGTAGTGAAGACATTGGCAGCGTCCAGCTCAAAGAGCGGGTTAAACCATTCGAAGAGGGAGTGATACAACCCTACACGAATGTCACCGTTATTGCGAAGAGCTGTCACCACTTCATCCACCAGGTCTCTCTGTGGTCCAATATCCACCGCATTCCAGTTCCAGGAGTTCTTTGAGCCCCAGAGTGTGAAACCTGAGAAATACACCAACAAAACAGAACATCTCTTGTGTGGTTGAAGGACAGTCATACATCGCTGACACCAATACTGACATCAGACTACTTCTTCAGAAAAAAAAAAGAACACTGTAGCTGGTATATATAAACACAGCGATGCACAAAAATGTGGTGTACCTTCATGGTGTTTTGTGGTCAGAACGATGTACTTTGCTCCCGATGAGGCGAAGATGTCGGTCCATTCTTTGGCATCAAAGAACTCAGCAGTGAACAGCGGTGCAAAGTCCTGATACTTGAAGTCTGGAGGATAATTCCTCTGCATGAAGTCCACATATGGCTTTTGCTTTTGCTTTTGCCAGTACCACCTGTGTAACAAATAAAATGCAAAATGTGTCATCACTGTAAAAACTTGTAAAACTGTAAAACTTTTAATCTGTACGGCCACTGTTGCCATGATGTAAAACATATAGGATCTGCAACTTCGGACAGGATAGATGGCGGGTTCCTGGATAAGTCCGAAGTCGGAATTTCCAATGAATGAGTTGTTCCCTAGATTTCACAGACCCTCTTGCCCTCACTGATTGTCTGCAAAAGTTTAAATGATCTGGTAATGTCAAAAGAAGAACTCACCAGAACCATTCGCTGCCAAAGCTCGGGACAGAAAAGACACCCCAGTGTATGAAGATGCCGAACTTTGCCTGGTCATACCATTCTGGCAGCGGTCTGGAGTCGATGGACTTCCAGTTGGGTTCGTATTTGGCATTATTGGCCCCGATCTGCAGGATCAATAAAAGCAAAGGAAAGGCTGCTAAAGCTCCCATTTCAGTGCCGCACACAGATCCGACTTCACTCTTTAGACGTCATATGACTGTGAGTAAAGTTGCGGAACTGACACTGGCAGGAGAGAAAAAACAAGGAAGTGAAAACGGCTGGTTTACCTTGAAGAACCAGGTAAGTTTGATTTCTTTTCGTTTACTTCCCGCCATAGTTCAACCAATAATTTCTAACAGAGCACCGCCCTCTCGAGCTGCGCAGTGTCATCGATCTCGCGCACTAACGAGCCCACACGTGCACATGCGCAGTCGGATTTTATTGGAGGAAGCGGGTTTGTTTTGATTTTGAGAGCTAAACAACGTCCACATGCACGGCTACGTTGACTGCCACTGTCACATCTCTGCGGGGGATTTTGACAAGGTATTAACGCTTGTTTACGGACTGAAAATTCATTTTTTATCTTTAGCAACCTTAATTTAACCTTTCCACGTTTTTTTCGCCAGGATGTAGAAGAGGTGATCGAAAATTCAAAAAAGGTGAGATCCTCATGAGTAAAAGCTGAAAGTTAGTCAGATATTTATTGTTTTAAAGATAATTTCTGGTTGTTTTTACTCTTGTCCAGGCTGGCTTGTTGGCGTTATTAGCTGTGGCCGAGCATTCAAGGGAATTTGAGAAGATCATAGAGTTGTCACAGAGGTACCCAGCACTGTTTAAATGATGATGTATCTGTACTGTGTAGGTCGCGGTTTTGTAATTTCCTGCTGTAATTTTCTCCAGGTTTCCAGGTTTCATTTTCCCCTGCTTAGGAGTTCACCCCGTTCAAGAAGTATCCCCCGAGCAGCAGAGGGGTGCTTGCCTTCAGGTAGGATTGCTGCAGTTTAAAATCTTTTTCCACCCATGCTGTTAACATAAGCTAGTGGTGTCACAACTGCCTCCGGAAAACAGAAATCTTCTTGGATTTAAGAATTTATAGTGCACCATATCATAGAAACGACACCAGTGAAGGTTACGAATGACCTTCTCATGGCCTCTGAGAGTGGACCCAGTCCTTGTGCTTGTCCTGGTACTCAGTACAGCATTCAGTACCACTGATCGAAACATTTTACTTCAGAGATAAGAATACAGCTGTGGCCATTAAAGGAAATACACTGTTTGAATTGTATCTGTTTGTTCATATAAACAGGGAGTCTTTACACGCAAACGTTAGTCATGGAGTTCCACAGAGTTCTGTGCTGGGACCAATACTTCTTACATTGTAAATGCTTCACTTAGGCAGTTATCTTAGAAAACACTGCATGCATTTTCATTATTTTGTAGCTGATACCCTGCTATATTTATCTATGAAGCCAGATGACAAAAATTAATTAGTTAAACTACAGGAATGATTTCAAGACATAAAGGCCTGAATGAGCTCTAATATCCTGCTTCTAAATTCAGATAAAACTGAGGTTATTATATTCAGCTGTAAAAATCAGAGAAACACGGGGTCTAACCAAATTCCTAGTATGGATAGAATTACTTTGGCTTCCAGTAGCACTATGAGGAATCTTGAAGTGCCTTACAAATATGTAAGATTGTTCCCTTTTATCTGTGTAGTGTCTAAAAGTAGGAACATCCTGTCTCAGAGTGATGCTGAAAAAATAGTTCATGATTTTATTACTGCAAGGGTGAACTATTGTAAGTTATTATCAGGCTGTTCTTGAACTTCCCTGAAAAGCCTTCATTTGATACAAAACACTGCAGCAAAAGTACTAATGGGGGATGAGAAAGATGGCTCACATTTCTTTATTCACCAGAAGGCCACAAACACAACAGCCAGCTGATCCGAACAGCCATGTAGAGCGTAAACAAGTATTGTTGTATTGTGGCTTTATGAAAATATAACATCCATCTAGCCACCCATCTTCATCTGCTTATCAAATTGAGGGTCACGATGTGCTGGACTGTATTCCAGCTATTTTAGAAAGATGGGGTACACTCTGACAGGTCACCAGTGTGTCTCATTATTAGTGCTTCAGTCTGATCTTAAAAAAATCAATTGTGGTACTCAGTGGTGGAAAAAAACAGCAGCGCTTCTTTCCTGAAATAGTGTGGATGATTCATTCTTTCTGCAATTTTGCAGTAAATGGTAAATGGCCTGTATTTGTATAGCGCTTTACTAGTCCCTAATCCACCCATTCACACACACTGGTGATGGCAAGCTATATTGTAGCCACAGCCACCTGGGGCGCACTGACAGAGGCGAGGCTGCCGGACACTGGCACCACCGGGCCCTCTGACCACCACCAGTAGGCAAACATGGGGTATAGCGCTTTACTAGTCCCTAAGGACCCCAAAG